TGTGCTCCAGAAAACGGGAGCTTAAAAAATTAATTTTTTTTTTTTCGAATTTTGCTAGATCTAATCCTAACATGTGTTTTTATCGAAATTGGAAATAAAACTTATTAAAAGTAGTAGGATATTGAAAATTTACCGGAATCGAGCCTCGTTTGCTACGGTTTCAAAGTCGAAAAAATTTACGAAATTCAAATTTCTAGAGAGAGTTTGGGAATAGGAGAGAGAAATTCAAAAAAAAAAAATTAAATGAAAAAGGTACCGCTGCAAATAAGCCAATTTCAGTAAAAGTCCCGCGGCAAATAGTAACACCCTATATATATATATATATATATATATATATATATATATATATATATATATATATATATATATATATATATATATCAAATATTAATAGACTTATTTTATTTTATTCAATTTGGAAAAGTAAGAGTTGATAATATGCTTGATTGTCCTTTCATAATTAATAATAATAAAAATAGTTAATATGTTTGATTGTCGAGATTCAAAGTTCAAAGTTCAAACCATTTCAAACGGCCGCAACAATAAAAATTAAATCCAACATTGTTATTATTTAATGAAATTAGCCATTACCAAAAATATATCATAAATGAAATAATTAATTCGTTCTGTAAAAAAAAAAAGGGAAAAATACAAACACCCCTGAGGTATGGTCAATTTACGAAAATTCTCATCTTGTTTGGATAATTATATCTATCCATCAATTATGAATCTTCTTACACCTCCACCCTTATGGTGTCAAATTCAACATAATCATCTAGATTCCGTGGAATGCGCTCTGGTTTGCACTCGTTTTGTATAAAAATACAGTTTATGTTGCGCCACAATCTCATATATACAAGCCAAAAAACACATCTTATGATCATCTTGCTTCAAAATGTGGAGTTCGAATGTGATAAAACGGGTACAAGAGTGATAATAATCCATATAATCAAGAAGATTCTACTTAATTTGAAACCGCAAGGGTGGACGTGTAAGAAAATTTATAGTTGAGAGGTGGTTGTAATTATTCAAACAGGAGGGGGGTTTTCGTAATTTGAGCATATCTCATGGGGTGTTTGTAATTTACCCAACAAAAATTATAATCAAATTTGTTCCATATCAAAAGGATTGCAACCAAACAAAACGATAAATTGCAAGACTGAATTCTTGGGGGGTCAGGGCCCCCCTCATAGTACCGCCCCCGGTTGTGTAGCTCAATTAGTTTCACGTAATTGCCACTAAATAAATAATTATCTAGTGCGATAATTTTAAATTGCAAGACTGAAAATTAATTTTATTCGTGGTCTAGTGTGACAATTTAAATTGCAAATGCTTCAGTCTAGTGTGATAATTTAATTATTGCAAATGCTTTTAAAATGAAGCACAAAGTATTAAATAAAATAAAAGGTACAAATTAAAAATTTATATGCCCACTCCACGCGAAAAAGGGCGAATATTTCAACTCAATTTTTACTACGCTATCATTAAATATTAAAAAAAAATTAATTAAATAATTAATAATAGGATTATTTTTCTATTTCTAAAATTCCAACTAAAGCAAGGCTTGGCAACGCGGTTGGATCAAATTTGTTTGACTTTGACCTTTTTGTTCATGAATGAAATCATTATTATTATTTATTTTTTTAATCTTATTTACAATTTTATTTTATACGCAATGCATGTCAAAAGACTCAAAACAGATAACTTAAAATATCGTATTTATTCGGCCAATAAACAACTTATTTTTGTATAGGCAATTTGCTATAAGTGTCTCTTAATTAGATTCTATGTCAATAAATTCATGTCATAAATCCTTTTTTCCTATAGATTTATTATATAGTTTGCGGTAAAAAGACCGTTAATTAAATTTAATTTAATTTTAAAAAATCTCTCTATCAAAATCAAATTTCCCGGAATAAACTCTTACAAGAAAAAATAATTTATAAAAAAAAAAACTATTTGTCGTAAAAACTCAGACTCCCAAATTTACCACCACAGTCGCACCACCGCATCTCCACCTATGACTGCACGAAATGCGAATAGCAAACTGAAAAACAAAATCTGCATTATTAAATTGCAAACAATAAACTACCTATCACATGAAAAAAATAAGCATCGTCTAATTGCAAACAACAAACTGAAAATAGAATATGCATCACCTAAATGCAAATAATAACAACAAAATGGAAAACGATAATTGTCTCATTTTTTATGATCATTTTAATTTTTTACTATCTCGAGTAAAAAAATTACGAAAAATCTTATAACACAACACAAATTTTTCTAATTAATGTAAATACTAAATGAAAGAGAAATTCGATCAAAAGATTAAAGATAGGAAGAAAAAAGAAAAAAAAATAAGGTAAAATTTATTAGTTAATTAACATTTAACATTAAACAATATTGCATTTCTTTCTGATTTTCCCTTCATCTCCAGTAAGCACACCAATTGCACCCATCTTCTTCATGGATTTTCCAAACTGAGTATAAAACTTTCCAGAAGTCAACATCTGGTCAACCACGCCGCGTGCCACGTCATTGGTCAAAAGGGCGGCGTCCGACTGAAAAAGTCCCTGACGGAGTTTTAACGCCGTGAAATAATGATTGTCGAAATCCAAAGAGCTTGTGGGGTCCATTTCAACCGTCGTTGTTTGGTCGGACAAGCTTCGGCATTTTGATCGCAGTGTGGCGGCGTAGGTAGTGTTTAAGGAAGTATCCGTGTCTCCTTTTCCGGTGAAATTGTACAGCCTGTTGCTGAATACGATGCACTTCCCGACACCGATAGTGTGAGCTCCTGTGTGTGTGTGTGTGAAAATCGGAATTCAGAATTACGGGAATTGGAACGAAAAAAGTTGTTCGAGAATTGGAATTAATTATTTTCGATAATTAGAATTGGATCGGAGTATATTCTAATTCCGATCCATGAAGTTATAGATAAATTGAAAACTTCAATTTGGAATTAGAAAAAAAAAAAAAAAAATCGGATTAGAAGCGACGAAAATCTGAAATCCGGTTCTTATTTCCACCTCTACCTTACAATATATTGTCCCATAATCCCGAGGGAATTTAATTTTTTGCAATAGTGAAAAATCAATTCCAATTATATATGTTCCGAAAATAATATGAAAAAAATCAGAAATCGGAATTATGGAAATTGGAACGAAAAAAAGTTGTTAGAAAAAAATGGAAATTGTTGGAATTATTTTTTGATAATTATATTAGAGGTGAAAATCATGTTTAATTACTGAAATTCCGAGCCCAATTCCAAAAAAAAAAAAGATTCAACTTTGGAATGAGTTTTTTCGTTCCAATTTCTGAAGTTTCAATTTTATTTATTTTTTAAAAATAAATTCGGATGTTACAGTTATCGAAATCAGTATTTACGTTCGAAAAAAAATCTTTTGGAAATGGTAACTCAAAATTAAATCCGATTTAATCCTAACGATTTTCACCCCTAATTGCAGTACTAACTTTAGAAGATAAGTAATATATAGAACCTGAAAGAACAACAAGATCCTTGACAGAGAGGCCTTTGTCGGCAAAAGATTGTTTTAGGGTTTTGAAATCGGAAGCGGGTGAAGGGAGTTCGTTTAAGGCATCGGATTCGCGTGAAACGATGCCGTCTCTTCTGCCTGTTTCCACCTCCCACATCGGTTTATTGAACTGTATTATTAGTTTCCATAAATGCTGTTATATTACATTGCAGATTTATAGATACACAGAACAAAAGTTATATACATTGATCATGTACGTGCATGCATGCATGGCATGTTCAGTGAGTTTTCTTACACAAAATTATGCTTCTTTTAATACTTTTACCCTAATTATCAAGAAATAACAACACCATAGGGGAATTTATGCTGATAAAAATACAAAAGAATTAATCTTAACAAATTAAATTCGAGAGGGAATAAGTGATGGGTCTTTTTTTTTTTTTTTTTTTTTCATTTCCACTAAAATTACAATTGGCAATTTGTTGATCTAAAAACTTACTTTGAACGAAACCGAGTCCCTCGCAGCTAAAGCGAGAACATCAGCACACGAAACAATTCCAGGGCAAGTTTTCTCGAGCTGAGTCTTGATTTCCTCTATAACTTCGAATCCTCCCAAAGACAGATTCGGGACCGCTTCCTTTTCTGCTTTATGTTTTGCAGTAGAATCTATCAGCACCGATCCATCACAACCCTAAAAAAATTCAAAAAAAATAATAATAATTAAATCAGCAAGAAATCGAGATCTTATTATAAAATTGAATTATCATGTTAAAACTGAAATTAATGAACTTTGGTTAATTATTATACCCTAACAAAGCAGTCATGAAAATGCATTCTGAGAAGCTTAGCAGGCAATGTTGCATCATTAGCTACATGTTTACTAATTATTTTCTTAACAATTTTCTCGGCATTGGGGCAACTCGTACTATAAAAGTTATTAGTTAATCCTCCGCATTCGCAGAACCCTAATGCCAGGAAACATAACAAGATTGTCGAGAAAATTTTCGACATTTTTATCTTAAAAGAAATAATATGTAATATGTATGTTTGCTTGCACACTTTTTTTGTTAATGAACCTATAAATAAGAGAGTGTGCAGCTGATATATAATAAAGATTGTTGAATGACAAATTTCCAAGTTGTAAGAAAGAGAGATTTTCTGATGCAATAATCAAAGAATATAAATTAAAACATAATTAATAAAATACGTATGTAAAATATATCTAGTAATAATCAATATTACTACATTGATGCCAAGTTTTCTAAAAAAGATGACAAAATCTGGTTGTGTTTACAAAAACTGATTATGAGATCTATAATTCTGATTGCATAGGGTTAATTAGTTGCAACTCATAATTATGAGCAAATTACGGCCACCTTGAGGTCTGCTCAAATTACGAAAAAACCCTTCATTTTTTTGATAATTACAACCGCTTCCTCAACTATGTAATCTTTTATACATCCACCCTTACGGTGTCAAATTTATCTATCGAGTGAGGGGTTTTCTCGTATGACAACACAGTTGATGAGGTGATAATAAGTATCCAAATAGGAGGGATTTTTTCGTAATTTGAGTTTATCCCATAGTGGACGTGAATTGCCCTAATTTTAATTCACGATGCCGAATAAAAACTATATAAACATTCTTGGGATCATTTGAAAAAAAAAATATCGAAATCTCATATACATTCCAAATTATAGCTCGATACAAACAAATAAATACTCTACATTCATAATAAAGCTAATATATTTAAAGTTTTTGTCCATTTTTATTCCAAAACAATGGTGCCAAATTATATCATCCAAGAAAGTTAGAACAAGTACATAGTCTTTTAAATAAATGAATTACAACTTCATCTCATCCAACAAATCCTCAGAACAGTTGTATCAAAATCGACTACGCAATAATTAAAATACGCCACGCTCCACCAAAACTAGCAATGAATTCCGATCTCCGATTTCAACTTATGATGATTTCTTCGTAAAACACATTGCAAACTTTCTGCAGAAAGAAAACAGAAAAACTTAAGCCATAAAAAACGCCCCAATCCCTTTGTAGTAAGCAACGATAGTGAAATAGGATTCAACCTCGACTTTTAATACAAGTGTAAACTCTGCTTATAGTTGATTTGGGCTAGTAGTAAACCAGCTATTAGTAGCTCCAAATACACCGTTTTTGAATTCAAAGTTATTTTCTGAAATTAGTCGATTCTAAAATGTGACGTCTATTGGTCAACAATTGAAGTATTTCAAGAATTGGAATTACCTTTGAAAACAGAGCTAGGAACTTTTACTAGCATCTTTATTATCGTGACCCCGCCATGGATTAAGAGCTTCTCTAGCGGCTTGTGCTTCGGGCGTATTCTCCCAAGCCCTTTTCTCCGACTCCAACTCGGTTACTTTATCATCTGCTCAAAAATCCGAACAAATAAGCAACTAAATAATCTGCAGCAGAAAGTGGTTGTACACATGTACTTACTACAAAGTACAAAACGACAATGAAAATGAACATCGGATCGACCAAAAGAAGCACACGGTTCGTAAAAACGCACAAGTAGCCCGCACATAAAAATAAGAAATTCGAAGTTAAACTCAAGTGGCAACACGGGTAACTATATCGTAAACATTCAAATCATTCGTATTTATTGGAGCTGAATAGTTATAAAACCAAGAGGAAATATTAAATCCAGTGCCCAAACACCTTCAATTGAACGGAATTAACTCAACTGATTTTAAATCCAAGCATCAACTTTAGACACAATTTGAGTTATTACTGTGAATTATTTCGATATCTCCTCCAGATTCAAGATCGTTTTATTAGGGCACAAAATTTGGGGATTTTGATTTCTGATCTAGTTCTTCAAAAAAATTAATTCTCCAGCAGAAATTACCAACGAAAATAACAATTCTCCAGGAAAAAAGTATTTCAACAGCAAATAGAAACAGAGAAATAGTGTGTGCGTGTGTGGGTGTGTGTGTGAGAGAATATGATGAGCAGAAGGAAGTGTCTCACACAGAAGCCAGTTTTGATCATGAAAAACTCCATTGAACCTCCAATCATGGCTGATACAACCGCTATCTTCAAGTACCAATCCACAAACTTCATCCTTCTCTCTCTCTCTCTCTCTCTCTCTCTCTCTCTCTTATTTTCCACAATTCAGACGTAGCATTTAACAGTCCTCAAAACCCCAAAACCACACTTAAATCGCGCATCGACGATTCTCAATTACGAGTTGGATTTTGTATCGACCCGACCCGACCCGTATTGGGTCCAACCAAAATCGGAGCTACTGAGTTTGAGTCTTGACAGTCATAGTTGGGCTCTTGTTGTAAGTCGACCCATTTAGTTCATATAATTCCATAACAATTTGGGCCCTTCTGTATTATTATTATTATTATTATTATTAGTATCCTGTAATCGGATTGAATTTTTGCATTTTGAAATTTTGGAACGAAAAATTGGAATCTATTTTTTACTTCCAACATAAATGAATTTGTTTTTTTTCCAAAAAAAATTATTTCCGATCCATTCCGTCCGATTTCCAAGATAAATAAAAATATTTATTTATCATTTAAACAAAAATCGAGAATCAAATTTTTTTCTTCTTTTCTGACCAAAAAATAAAAATTTGCATATTTATTGAAAATAAATTTCACAAGAATTAAAAAAAGTAATAATAATAAATTATACAGTTTTCAGACAAAAGGCGCTGTGCGAAAACGACAACCGTGACGTGGGCCTTTCCCACCTAACGTCACCCCACCTTCGATTCATTTTCCCAGAATGAAACCCTCTTCGTCGTTACAGATTCTTGATTATGCTACTCCTCAATTTTCCAATCCATACATTTTTTTTCTCATAAAAATTGAATCTTTATTTTTTGCTACTTTCCAAACCTTAATTTTGCACAAAAATGGAAAATCAAAAATCAGGCGCCGACGTCGATCAACATAAAGCAGCGGAAACTCCGTCAACTGTAACGGCACAGGTCGGAATTTCTGATTTTGTTAATTGGGTCTTTTTAATTTTGTTTCTGTCGATTTATCTTAATTTTCCCCCAAATTTAGCCCTAGATTAATTTTTGGATTTACGAAATTAACTGATGATGCAGTTAACTGATTTCCATTGTACACAGGCTGATTCTGAAAATAAAGAATCTAGTAATACAGAACCAGGGCCAAGTACTAGTCGAATTTCAGATTTAACCCTTCAAATTCCTCCTAGGCCCGGTGCTTTTTCGAGCAGCCGTTCGGGTTTTCTTCGGGCTTTAAGCTTTAAGAAGAAGTACACTTCATCAGATGGTGAAAGAAGTTCCCTTCTCAGCTCGGATACTAAGGAACCTTCCGGAAGCTCCCCCGTTTCGAATGTTGCGTCGAATGTGACTTGCGAAAGGTGTACTTCACTCCCCGTGACACGGGCCTCGCTTTTGTCACCTCAGATTACTGGCCTCGCTTTTGTCACCTCAAATTACTACACCGCCATCGGCCGGTGAAGGGCAAAAACCACATGTAATTGCATCTCAATTCTTGATTATTATTAAGTGTGTGTGTGTGTACAGTTAAACCTCTATAAATTAATAACGTTGGACTAGCAAAATTCTATTAATTTAGCGAAATATTAAATTATCGAACTAATAATTCAGTAGGTTCTTACCGAGTCGGGATCAGAAGAAACTATTACTTAAGCGATGTTATTAATTTATCGAGTTTCTACTGTATATATTTCATTTGGTTTATGAAATATGGATATTCATAATTTGCAGATAAGTGCATCTCGAGCTGCTGTTACGAGATCGCTCTCAGTGCCCGGAAGGAATATTCTAATTCTACGATCTTTATCGTTTGCCTCACGCGAACATGCTCCAGATACCGATGGGGGTACTTTTTTTTCTTCCATGCACATCTATTTATTAATTCCCATTTTACCCTCATTCGACAGCTTATCAGGACACATAATCCAGACCATTATACGCATGCATCTAAATTTAACCATCATTTTAACTAAAGGTTATTTTTGTAATTTTGCTTGTTGTCAAGCTAGATCAAATAACTCCTGCTCCAGAACACGTGGACGAAGAGATTGCCGAAGAGGAAGCTATATGCAGGATATGTATGGACACTTGTGAAGAAAGAAATACACTAAAAATGGAGTGCCTTTGTAAAGGGGCTCTACGATTAGTACACGAAGAATGTGCGATTAAATGGTTTAGTATTAGAGGTAACCGAGAATGCGAGGTTTGTGGTAAAGAAGTTTCGAATTTGTCCGTCACTCTACTTCGTGTCGCAACTCAAAGAAACAATAATGACCTCATCGAAGAAAATCCGTTGAAGTAATATATTCTTTTTTATTAAAAAAAAAAAAAAACTATTTTATGCTTAGATTATAACATTTGGCGTGTATTTTTATTCAGCGTGTGGCAAGATTTTGTGGTGCTCGTACTCATAAGCACAATTTGCTATTTCTTCTTTCTCGAGCAGCTACTGGTAAGATATTATGTGATAGTATATTGCGGTTTTGACAACATTTGATTTATTTTTATTTTTATTTTTATTTTTTTATTATTTTAAATTGGAAATTTATTCTTGTTTTACAGATCGTAGAGATGAAAAATCAAGCACTTATACTCGCTGCACCGTTCTCTTTCTTATTTGGTCTTACATCATCGATTTTTGCGGTCCTTTTAGGTACGTAAATTGCTCGTAAAAAAGTTTATTCCTAAACCCTAAACCGTATTCATACTAGGAAGAATATCAATCTTAAATAGTAATTTTATGATAATGCAGCAAAACCAGAGTATATCTGGACTTTTTCAGCTCTCGAGTTTGCTCTTGTGGCCCTGATTCTTCATATTTCCTATGCCTTGGTGAGATTTTTTTTTTTTTAATTGCAAGTATATTTATTTCTTATTTTTATGTATTTTCTGATCCTCTTGGAAATTTAATTTAATTTTTTTTTTTGTGACAGCTTCACTTGCCGCCAATCTATTCGATCTTGATTTCGTCTTTCTTAGGGCTTGGATTGGCAATTCTTGTCAACACATTGTATATGGGATTATTTTCGTGGCGCATAAGAGCTGCTCAAACCGCCAATCCAGTATGATTTAATTGGAAGAGAGGGATTAAAATTTACCGATTATTTATTGGTGAAGATTATCGAAATCCGGCTCATAGAAAAGGGCTACTACTCCAGCGAAAAGGGTAATTGGAAGTTTCGAAGATCTATTACAGTGGTCCCCTCAGCCGGTCCGTAGTAGTGAAATGTCGGTTTGATTTCTTCGTATCGGTGCTACATTGTACGAGGAGACTCGTAAGGTGTAAGAGAATTAATTAGTAAGGCAAATAGTAGAGCAGGTTTTTTATGTGTTTTCTTGGTTTGATTTTTGGGCTTGTATTATTTCTTACATAGGAGCCAAGCTTTATATTTTGTTCTCGATGTACGAAAGGTTGAACGAAAATCTCAAAATTATTTATAAGAACTCGAAATGAAATATTTAAAATCCACTATAAAATAAAATTCATCCAAACGAAATTCTCAAGTAATTCCATCCCACCAAAAAGTCGAAACCGGATACCTGATCTCCGACTCAACAACGCACAGCATCACTCGAACTTGATCCACAAACGGAAATTCGTTACTCCCCGCTACAAAAGCTGTAACACAATTCCTCACTTCAATCCAACTACAACCGCACGGTTTCCTCACGCCTCGTTCCACCATATCCTTCCTCAAACCTTGCGCCCTTTTCCACTGCCCACTAGCGCAGTACAAATTCGACATCAACACATAGCTCATTTCGTCGCTCGGTTTCAAAATCTTCAGTTTTCCCGCCAATTCTTCTCCCGCGCCCAAATCGTTAATTCCATGAAAAGAAGAACAAGATCCAAAAAGAACTTCCAATGAGCTCACTTTTGAATCACTTGCTCCAACGTGTTTATTAGCAAACTCTTTCGCCTTTTCGAATTTCCCACATCGGCATAACATGTCCACCACGCAAGAAATATGGTCAATTTCAGGAGAAAGATTGAATTTTGAATTCATTGACTCGAAAAACGAGAGCCCTTCTTCGATTAATCCCAAGTGGCTGCAAGTCATTAATAGACCTATGAATGTTACTTTGTCTGGCTTTACATTCGAAGCCAGCATTTCTTCGAAAATACGCAGTGCTTGGTTAGACCGCCCATGCAATCCAAATCCGAACAACATCGTATTCCACGAAATCAAATCCTTATTTAGAACATCATTAAATGCACGATACGCGTTGCTGATGTCACCGCATTTAGCATACATATTCACCAGGCCATTGCTTACGTAGGCGTAGGAACGAAAACCGAACCGAACCACACATGCGTGGACCATTCTACCGTGGCCGAGTGTCGCCAAATTCGAACATGCATGTAAAACGGTACCTAATGTAATATCATCTGGCTTTATATGACTTTTCATCAGATCAAGAAAGAATCTTAAAGCATATTCCGCATGCCCGTTTCTCATGTATCCGCTGATCATTGATGTCCATGATATAAGATTCTTCTCGGGCACACGCTGAAATGATAGATAAGCTTCCTCGAGATCACCAATACTCATATAAGCATCAATGATCACGTTTCGAGAAATTTCGTTACATATTCGAAGAGATTCAACCGCTTTCAGAACATCGTTTTTCTCACCGAATTTTATGTAGAAACTAAGGACCGAGCTGTTAACCTCAGCTGCAGAATGCCCGCCGCTTCGGATGATGAAACCATGCAGCATAAAACCGTAACAAGGGTCGTTCGTTTCGGAACAAGCGTTTATAACTGCGCTTAATGTCCATTGATCTGGTCTGCAAGAGTGTTCCTTTAACATCTTCTTGAACAATTCCAAACACGGTTCAATTTCTCCCCACTTCGCATAACCGGAAATAATAGTATTCCAAGCTACAACCACTTTTTTCGGCATACTAAAGAAGATAGTCTTTGAAATATCAAGAAGACCGACATTTACGTAAGCAAACAATAACGAACACCACGAAACCTCGTTCTTCAACTCCATCTCCTCAAACACTCTATTCGCTTCTTCAGCTCTTAAGCACTTACCGTACATATCGATAAGCGCATTATTCACAGGCAAGAAAGAACTGCACCCTGAGACAATAACAAGTGCGTGAAAGCCTTGTCCGAATCTGATTTCCTTTAAACCGGCGCAGGCACTTAAGACAGCGGTGTACGTGAAGTGATCGGGGTTTTCCTTGCTGAATCTCATACTGCTAAACAGTGATAGAGATTCTTTCTGAAAGCCCAGCTGCGAATATCCGCTTATCATTGCGTTCCAAGCGATTGTGTCTCTGCGAGGCATTTCATCGAACAGCTTCCGCGCACATGAGATACTTCCGGATTTTGCAAGAGCTGTGATTTTGGAAGTGATTTGAACCAAGTTTTTTGAACACATGGAAATTGATAGAATTGGAGTTGATGAAACAGATCAACATGTTCTGGGATTCAGTGCAATTGCAGTTCTCAAAATAAAGAATCGAACTAAGATTAGAAAACGAAATTTTGAAGTTTTTTTTTTTTTTTGAGACCTGTCCAGATTCCAATTTAGGGGCGAAATTGTATGTTTTTAAAACATCTCTTCATGTAAGAAGAAATCTTTAAACACAGAGACTAAATTGCAAAATATAAAAATACACTTTGCACCCCTGAAATATAGTATATATGAAAGATGCCCCCTTAAAAACTATTTATTCTATTCTAGAAGGCTTCACTTAATTAAGAGATTTTAGATTTAGATTTTCACTCCTATAATGTATCATTTTTTATTACAAAAATTCAATTTTACCCATTAATAAATTTTGCGTATACATATAATCATAATAATGTATAATATTGTGATTTATTTTTTTGGTCTATTTTGGCATACTTGTGTATTTTAAAATTTGATAAATGTGTGTGTATCGAGCAATATATATTCCACACACACACACACACACACACATGCACATCTATATATATATATATATATAGAGAGAGAGAGAGAGAGAATGATGATATTAAATTTTCAATTAGCAAAATAGTCTGTAAAATAAGAACTCCAGGAGAAAATTACAAAGGAAAACTGGTCCATCCTTATAAAAGACTTCAGCCATGACAAAAGTAGGGTGCTATTATCACCAGATTTACTTAATTAGCCCTGAATGCCAATGATACCTGCACAGTATAAACAATGTATTAACATTATTTTCTTGTCCAATTAAATTTATTAAAAAAAAAATGTAAGCATGGTTGAGAGCAGGCATCGCCTATAACTCGTTACGAAAATTAAATTGCATAAAAATAAGAGAGAATAATTTATCCTCACCACAAGCAACTCTTCCACCGGCATTGCCAGTCGTTTTGCTCAGTTCATGGCCACCTGAAACATCACACATACAACTCGATATTGAATTATGCATATAGAAAGATGATATATATACTTTAAATTAAAGCAATTATAAACAAAAACTATCGTAACTTCGGTTAGGATATTACGAAAAAGGACTGTAGAATATAATGATTATTTGTAGTGCTTAGCTCCATGACTCAATCAACCATATTAAATCGGTAAAAAAATAAACTAAAGCTAGTCTAGTCTTTTCTTTTGCCTGTCTTTTTATATATATATATATATATATATATATATATATATATATATATAAAATTCAGATGCCAACCTTTTCCAAGATCATCGGCATCTCCATGAACAACTACAGCTCTTCCAATTATGGAATGTGGTCCTGTAAGCGGTATCTGCAAAAAATAAAATAAAAAATAGCCGTTAATATTTTTAAGATAAGAAGATTGTATGAGATATTTACTGGAGATGGTGATGGAGAAAAATATACCTGCTCGTCAATTATCGTAAAAGCAGCAGTGCCTGAAACATTTAGAAAGCCGAAAAGAGAAAAGAAATATTTTAGGTCAAGAGTTGAATAGTGATAAATCCAATGCCAGTTTTGATATGAAATGACCATTATGCCCTTATAAACTAACGTGGAACACGTATGGTTGACTTCCCGACAAAAATGGCCTGGAAATGGGGCGATGCATGGCATTGGGATACAATATATGCGAGTTCAGAGAAAAATGTGCAACTTATTTTCGTTCAAGTGGCAAAGTGCCAAACACGAGTATGATTTGAACCAGTCTTGCTTCACAGTGAATGCGTTAACAAAAAAGACGGTGAACGAATTTAAGAACTTAAACACTTAGCTAATGAGTAAGTCCAAACGGATACAAGAATAAATAGTAATATATGCCAACGAATTATATAGTCCGTATATATAAATTTTCTTCATAATATCGAAGGTGATTTACCATCTTCTCCAACTGTGACATTCCCAAGGTCACCAGCATGTCGAACCTCGTCTTCTGGAGCACCGTGCTCTTTGCCAGCAGGATTGAAGTGAGGTCCTACAAATTTCAATAAACGACTATAACAAATTATAACAAATTCAGATTACCATTATCGAATATAAGAAATTTCAATAGCTTAGTACAGCCAGTTCGAAGCATTGCAAGAAAAATTATACCAGTTGACAAACAACCATTGGTGGTGTCACCGAGTGCATGTACATGAAAACCGTGTAAACCGGGCTTTAGGCCCGACACGTTTCCGTTCACAGTTGTTGGACCTAAATAATAATAAATAAACAAATAAATAAAACAATGGATTAAAATGCAGCAAGTAATTCGATTAAAATAAAAAGTACCGTCTCCCTCCTGAGTAAAGAAAATGGTGCCATTAACACCCTCGCTGCTCTTGAGCACCGCAACTCCCTTCACCATGGTTACTTATGTTCTGACAAAATTTGCAAAAAATAAAATTTATTGCAAAATTAATAAATATAAAAAGTCCGTTACGAAAAACGGGACATAGTTCTAGTAAAACAACCTTCAAATCCTTGCACTACAACAAAATCGAAGATCGTATATATAAAAACCAAACGATTAACCTCACTAACTCGTTAACCATTTCTATGAAGTGATGTCATTTGAAACTAGCTTATACTGATCATCAATTTAAGAACTTCTTGCATTAATTAAATAAAACCCGGCAACAAATTAAATCAAGCAAAAGAAATCGACTACCTTCAATCCGAAATCCCGAACCAATCTACAAAAAACGGTAAA